ACTGTCCCTGTATGTGGTCACACAGACTGTCTTTGTCCCGTCATCTGCCTGCGTGTGCATTGTGTGGGCGATTTGGGTTCTGGATGCATCGTCTGCAAAGGAAACCCCTTAGCTCTAATTGACCCCCGACGGGACGCCGCGGGGATCTGGGCTAGCTCTGTGTCTGCCTCTGCGAGCCGGGCTGCTGGACAGGGAGCTGGGCGTGTCTGATTTGGGACGTGCGCTCAGCTGTCCTGCGTCGCGGTGGGAAGCTCACGATCCTGAGACTGAGAGCGAGTGTTTCCAGCACTCGGGCTGTGTGTGTCTCTGTGTCCCTTGTCCGGTCTCTCTGTCTCTCTGCTCTGACCCTCTGTCTCTCTGCAGCACCCACACCCCTGGAGAACGGCTCATCTCTCCCGGTCCTGGAGGGCCAACCTCTTCGCCTGGTCTGTGCGGCCGACAGCAACCCCCCTTCCAGGCTGAGCTGGGCCAGAGGGAGCCTGGCCCTGTGCCCCTCCCAGCCCTCGAACCCGGGGCTGCTGGAGCTGCCTCAGATGCACCTCAGGGATGAGGGAGAGTTCACCTGCCGAGCACAGCACCCTCTGGGCTCCCAGCACCTTTCCCTGAGCCTCTCCCTGCAGAGTGAGTGCAGGGGTGGGTGGGAGAGGGGCCGAGGAGGAGACAGCACCCACCTCACAGCCCACCCAGTAGCTTCCTGAGTGTCAGCGGGAGGGGGCTCTGGCTGTGCTCAGCGTGAGGCCTGGCGTTGCCCTGAGACCCAGAGCATCACTGGGATTTGCTGTCGGGCCAGGGGTGAGGGCTGGGGTGAGGGCTGCTGAGAGAAGCAGGGCGTGGGGAGGGTCTAGGAGGAGCGGGGCTGGGGCCTGGGCAGGGTGTCTGGGGAGACCAGGTCCTCCAGTGCAGGGCCAGGGCCAGGGTCAGGGTGGTACAGCGGGGAAACCAGCCAAGCGCACGCACCCAGCAGCAATGCAGCTGTCAGGAAGGGGATACTGCAACGCGATGATTTAGCAGAACCGAACAAAGCAATGCGGGGCAGCGGGGCTCGCAGGCTGAGGTGGTGCTAGAAAGGCCCGGAGCTCCTCCTCCACACGCGGGGCTCAGCTGCGAGCCCCTGTCCCAGCTATTGGGAGTCTGAGGAAGGAGGGTCACCAACAGGGAGGTCTGATCAAAAATGCCACTTCCTGTCTCCCTTTCCCTCTCATAAAGACAAGGAAAATGAATGCAGAATAAATCCATGATGAACAAAATATCAGCATTTTTTTTTTTGAGAGTTTTTTTCACTGTAGGGCGCATGCGCTCGCCAGACAGACAGAGAGTGACATAGAGACAGAAAGCGAGAAATCACCCCACAGGGGGGATGGTCACGCCCCAATCCCTTCTCCTCCATTCTCCTCTCGGGATCTTAGGCACGGACGCACATGTGCCCGGCGTGAGGTTTTTAAGCCACTGGGTCCGGGACGCGAACCACGGTCGACTGCGTGGGAGTCCAGCGACATAGCCATTACGCTAACTGCTGGTTCCCAAAATATCAGCATTTTAAAGACAGGCTGGGGACCGGCAGATGGCGTAGCAGAAACATTCCTGGACTCCCACATGGCCAACTGTGGTTCGAGTCCCAGGCCCGATGGCTTGCAAGTGACTCCGAGCACGTGTGCCCCCAAGATCCTGGGAGAATGGAGGAGAAGGAATTGTGGTGTGGCCATTCCCCCTGGGGGGTGACTTCTCACTTTCCCTCTCACTGTGTCTCTCTCTCTGGTGAGCGCACACGCCCTAAGGGAATAACCTCTAAATAAATAAATACTAAATACAGACAGGCTGCCAGCCAGCACCCGCAGCCTCACTCACTCCTTGTCCGGTCCTGCCCTCTCCCTCTCTGTTCCTAGTGTCTGGGAAAGGCTCGGGAGTGTAAATGCCCAGGGCCTCAGGGGATCCAGGGGGTGGTGGGAGAAGAAAACTCAGGGGATTTTGGAGAACCATGGAAAGACTCCCGTCTGTCCACAGGGCAAGCCCAGCCTGGAGCGGGCGCGATGCTGGGGGCCATCGGAGGCGCTAGCGTGACAGCCCTGCTCTTCCTGTCCTGCTGCGTCCTCTTCCTCGTGTAAGCACTGACCCCGGGGTGGGAGGGGGAGCCCCGGGGACGGGGTGTGCTGGTCGGCACCTGGTGGAGGGTCAAGAGCTTGAAGCAGGAGGAGGAGAGGGCCCGTGGTGGGCAGAGGACTGCACACGTACTGTCTGTGTGGGGCTCAGAGTCTGTCACCACCCTGCAGCCCAGTGTCCGGGAGCAGGGAGGCTGCACCCTCAACTCTGGGGCCTCCAGACTGGACTGCCCTCTCCCGCCTCGGCGTCCCTCTAGCCCTCTAACAGGAAATGGGGTGGGAGCGGTCGGTCTGGCAACTGCACCTGACGGGGCCAGACTGAAAGAGGCTCTCGGGTCTCTCGCTCAGAGTGAGGTCCTTCAGGAAGAAATCGGCAAGGCCGTCCGCAGACGTGGGGGCTGGACCGGCTGTCGGGGACTCAGCTTTTCAGGTGAGTGACCGGGTGTCTGGACATCCAGCATCCAGCCTGGACACCTCCCACAGGCTGGTCCCC